TTTTTAACCTGTACATAATGACATTTGATAATTTTTGTACATAATCAATTCTGTGTATAACTTTTACCGAATTGTATATTTCATGTCTACTGATTTTTGATGTCTTATGTCTAATGTTTATTGTTTGACTTGGTTCCGTATTGTTTTGTATTATCATTTCAGGTTTGGGAGGACAACTTGTAAAGGCGTTGATACACCTGTTTTGTCCTCCCTTCCACTTGTTTTTGCATGTGGTAAATTCAAATAAAGAAATAAATAAAGAAATAAAGAAACATATTACGCAATGGAAAAAAATAACTAAAATTCATTCATTCGTTTTAATATGTTAAGTGATTTACACACACACACACACACACACACACACACACACACACACAGAACTGATTAAATATTTGAAGCAAAAGCATTAATTTAGAAGGAAAACATTATGATGTCAGCTGTAACTAGAGTTATTTTGTGTGTATGTGTGTGGGAGGTCCAAAGTAACGTTGAGTTTTTCTTCTTATTTCACATAAAAAACGGACGACGAAGAGAACACTTGGAATAGTTGGGTAAAAAAACAAGCTGCCAGGAAGCCCAAACACGCGTCACTTCTTGATTAGCACAAGAGCTACCCACCATCTAAATGTTGTCACCCTAGCATGTCTAGATCACGAGATATTAAAACCGGGAGTACTGGTGAAGTAGCATAACAAGCCGCCAGAGGGTAAGAAAGCTAATCATTTCGAGGTCTCATCATGACCTACGTACATACCAAATATCATGACAATACACATAAACCTTCTCGAGTTATCGTGTTAATAGTCAGACAGACAGACAGACAGACAAACACATACACGAACGCCTCCGAAGAAAAATTTCTTGGTGAAGGTAATAAGGGACCACTACAAAAAGTGGCCACGGTGACCAGGTGATCCTTGCGAAGATGGAGGTGGATATTTCTACAGGTTTGACTGTACAATGATTGAGATCAGGAATACATTCACATCACCACTCAAGATCTCAGTGGCATTTTCATATACACGTAGGTGGTCTGTACGTACATGTACCCTATTGAACAGACTTTGGCAACCTAATTATAAGAATTGAGTTAAAGAAATGTAGCAAAAATTAGGGGCTTACACATGATATATTAAGTTCAAGTCACAAGAACGATCGGAAACAAGGTTACTGATAGGCAGAAATGGGATTTCTGGTGGGAAAATTGAAAACAATAATGAAATTAATGAAGCTTTTCTTTAAAAGCCCGGCAAGATTGTGCCCCGAGGACCACTTCTGGACGACTTCTTTAACTCATGTAAGAGTGGTGAGAAGTCAGTGTGTTACAACAGTAAGAAGACACTGCAGTTCGCATCCTGTACAGTGTAGCAGTTATCTAAAACCTTAGCACCAGCTACAGAAGGTAGTGTAACCATGGGAGTGCTGACCGTGATTATACTGCCTGTCCTGCTGACTGTGGTCGCCACGGAGGCTGGTCAGGGGGCCGCGAAGGCTGGCAAACTGGGGGCCGCGGATGCTGGCCAGGGGGCCGCGGAGGCCAAGAAGTTCCAAGAACAGGCAGAAGAACCGTCCCTGTCTCACATCCCCGACACCATCAAGGCAATGCTGAGTGAAGGAAAACCCAACAGCAAAGGTAGGACATAAGGATTACTTCAACAAAGGTAGGACAGAAGAATTACTTGAATATGCCATTCAACTTACACTTTGTACACTAAGACTAAGTCTCTCAACACTCAAAATGAGATGCTATGAACCCTGGGACAAATTGAGCTGCATACCACTACCCAGTACAGGTATAAACCTGTGAAAATTATCTAGGTAACAGGGAGCACAGATTTCTTCTACTGATACTATTAATGTGTGCTGTGTATTAAGTAGGTCGTGTTTGTTGCCACCGCTCATAAAAGATGAAGCTAAAAACTGTAGATCTTGTTGGAGAAAAAAAGCCAAAGGGAGATGATGTTGTAACCTCCGCGACCGTTACCTGTATTCTGTAAAATTCAATGAGAACGAGCCTTAAGCTGGAGTCACATTTCCAACGGGGCCTGCTCGGCAAGTTCTTAGTGTAGACTTCGAACCCCGTCCGGCAAGGTACGTCGATGCAACGTCGTAACTTCACCGGACCAAGCCGTAACCTAGCCGCCGGGTCCCGCCAGGCGGCCGCACAGGCAGCTGTCCAAGATTATGACGTCACGTGTGCTGATCTGTGCTTTAATTGTTTAGAAGATGGTGGTTATAGAGGGTATTGTGATGTTCTCGACATAGCTCCATCATCAGTGAGTCATAATGACCACAAACGGGTCTGTGCATTTTGAATAGTGGCGAACCCACCATACCAGCCAGGGGCGTACCAGCCAGGGACTCGCTAGGATCACCCTTGGACTCCGCCAGGGACCCTGTAGCAGCCCTGCCGGAATTCAAGAACCAGTCAGCACGTGCACCCTACCGCATCCCGCACGGGTCAAGACAGGAGACTGACCGGGCACCGGACGGGTCCCTAACAGAAACCGGAGGAGCCGTAAAGGAACATTTAATTGTGACCCTAACAGCCGGCGCACGCTCGGCTTCATGACGCCGGCCGGCATCTACACCGAGAACATGCCTAGCAGGCCCCGTTTCACATGTGACTACAGCTTAAGTCAGAGATTAAACATCATGATTGAAGCTCGACTCACTAACAGCGAGGATTAACTGACCCACTAGGAGAAACAGGGGCTGCACATGCAGCTTTGGTTATTTGTCCAATATATTTAGTACTGAAAAAATTGTCTTTAAAAACAGGATAGCTATATGTAGAAAGGTCTATCCAATTATACCACCAAAAACTTTGCTATATGGTTCTCTATATGGTAAATTAATGGGATAGCACCCCTGTTATCCCATTAAATTCTCTTTCTGATAAATCAATGAGATAACAGGGGAGCTATGCCGTTAATTTACCATACTGGCCACGATTTTGGTGGCACATAAGGCCATGTTGCTTTGATTATATGGATGACATCCGCGCGCGCATGAATTTTCGGCCGTTTAAAAAAAAAGGTTTCAACCATACTGTAAATCGTACAAAACAGTTGCAAAATGAGCAAAAATATACCGTAAGTTACAAAAAAAACCATACCATTGTCGTAGAATGCCAAAATCAAACGAAAAAAGACGAAATTGTAAAGAAATGAACTTGAAGACTAGATTATTGGCTAAACCATATTCTGTCCCATTTGTTCAACCCTCATGACCACGTAGATTTCATAATAAAAACAACTCTTTTTTTTTTGCAAAACTTTTTTTTATTCGCACGCGCGCATCAATTTTGGTGTTCCCGGAGGATGTCATCCACATAATCAAATCAACATGGCCTAAGGTGAAAAAAATGGGACGAACAAATTATATACACTTATCCACATAATATCGATTAGCACGTTTTTTTTACAGTGAAATATTTTCCTGTACTAAATAAATGGGATAAATATTCAGATTTGCACGTGCAGTGTTCCCCAAACTTCAAAACACCTGTTGTAAGGGACCTGGCGATGTCATTATACATGTACTACTATGTATTAATCTGGTTACCGGTATTCGAAGAGGGTGGGTGCATTTCGCATTTTAAACACAGTTTACCTGCTTATGTTGCATGTATGTTATCATTTTGAACATGATCCATATTTGGCCTGTTTTTGATACAAAACTTGTTTTCCAGTATCTTGCCCTGAAGGTTACACAATGTGGCGTGAAGTCTGCTACAAGGCCTTCAACAAAATGAAGACCTACAGCGAAGCGGCGGCAGCCTGTCGTGCAGACAGCGGCACCCTCGCCATGCCCCGAGACGCTGAGACCGACGCCTTCCTCATCTCCCTGTACAAGTCCGTGAGCGATCACTGGAACTTCTGGATCGGCCTGCACGATCAGCGCGAAGAGGGAAGGTTTGAGTGGGTGGACGGGTCTCCACTTGGGTCGTACAGCTCCTGGGGTCCGGAAGAACCGAACAACTTTTTCGGAATGCAAGATTGCGTCTGTTACTCCTCAATGCCACACGAAAAAGACAAGTGGGACGACCAACAATGCTTCATGCTGTATTACTTCATATGCCAGGCTGCACCAGGTACTTCTTGTATCCGCACTATTTTATGAAGTCATTTCATTCATCAATAGTTGCACAACTTATTATCTGGATAAGGCGACGGACCATCATTTGGCGAACTAAATCATTTTTCATCCCATTTAATTTCTGCTCCTTTTTTCCAGAACGTCCATAGGCGACAGGCGGGACTCTCATCACTACTGTACAACGGCTCTCCGACCATCCGCAGTAAAGCTAACTAGAAAAACTTAAGACCGGGAATTAAAGCATTGGTTTAGATCAACATTTTTTCCTGTAGTTTATTCTACACGGGAAAATAAAATGTTATGAAACAGTAACATGGATGTCACATTTCAGTTTCCAGTTGTAGACGTTGGCACGTCTTGAATACTTTCATACATTTAAACAAGGCACACAATGTCCTTCTGATGACAGAAACATCTCAAGTTACCTTGATGAGAACAAACAATGAAACAGTTTAAAACCACTGTAATAATCAGGACTGTAACAATTCACGAGTTTCACATCCCCAGAATGCATTTCGAAAGCAGGGGTCTAAACCTCATTTGCATAGGACAGGAAGGCATCGGAATGATCCTGTTGACGTGAAACAGCTTGCTTTTCACTGTGTTTTGAAGTGTTGGGCATTTAATGCTCGACGTTAACTAAATTACTATGGGTTGAATTTGACAACAAATAATGAATGATTTTTTAAATTCGTGGTTTGTAACGTTACAGTGGTAACGCTATACTGATGCTGTAACGTTACAAACCACATGTTCCATGTTGAAAAGAACACAAAAACTTAATTCTCTATTTGTTGTCAGATTAGACCCATAGTATTAAATTTAATTAATGTTGACAATAAAATGCCCCAACACCTCAAAACACTCTGGAAAACAAGCTGTTTCACGTTAACAGGATCATTCCGATGCCTTCCTATGCAAATGAGGTTTAGTCCCCTGTTTTTGCAATGCATCCTGGGGATGGAAAGCTCGTGAATGAAACAGTTTGAAACCACTGTAACAATAAAGACTGTAACAATGTAACAATTTAATACCACTGTTATATCTGTTGTCTGTCATTGATACTGTCGTTAACGTTGTTAAGACTGTTTGGGATTTTGCGCTTTTTGGCTATTTCTGCAATAAATAGGAACTATTATGGTTCAATGCGGAAGTATGATTTTTTAACTGTGTCAGTGTGACAGGAAGGTTGGGTGTGTTGTGTTTGGTACTAACGAAATGAAACATACATGCATGAAACAAACGTTTGTCACTACACGCAAAAATTACTTCAACCCTGAATATGAATAAATGAATGGATGAATGAATAAATTGATTAATTTTTATTTACGTGTCTTGCGACTTTTGTCGCCCAGCCCATATAGGCTTATAAGACACCAAAACACAAACGTAAACATAAACATAGGTACAGAAATCATATAAACATAAATCCAAGTTTGAGTCAAAAGGTCAGATTGGAAACATCAAATAAAGAACTTAATATAACGTTGAACATACCATAATCGGTACATAAGAGTCAAAAGTGCACAAAGTCAACTCAAATTGTCAAAAGTACATATATGCAACTCAGAATAATTAATGAGACATATTACGCAATGGAAAAAACAACAAAAATTCATTCATTCTTTTTAATATGTTAAGTTAATTTCACACACACACACACACACAGAACTGATTAAATATTTGAAGCAAAAGCATTAATTTAGGAGGTAAACATTATGATGTCAGTTGTAACTAGAGTTATTGTGTGTGTATGTGGGGGGGGAGGGGTCCAAAGCAACGTTGAGGTTTTTTTCTTATTTTACATAAAAAACAGACGACGAAGAGAACACTTGGAATAGTTGGGTAAAAAAACAAGCTGCCAGGAAGCCCAAACACGCGTCACTTCTTGATTAGCACAAGAGCTACCCACCATCTAAATGTTGTCACCGTAGCTTGTCTAAATCACGAGATATAAAAACCGGGAGTACTGGTGAAGTAGCATAACAAGCCGCCAGAGGGTAAGAAAGCTAATCATTTCGAGGTCTCATCAAGACCTACGTACATACTAAATATCAAGACAATCCACATAAACCTTCTCGAGTTATCGTCTTAACAGACAGACAGACAAACACATACACGAACGCCTCCAAAGAAAATAAATTCTTGGTGAAAGTAATAAGGAACCACTACAAAAAGTGGCCACGGCCAGGTGATCCTCGCGAAGATAGAGGTGAATATTTCTACAGGTTTGACTGTACAATGATCGAGATCAGGAATACATCCACATCAACACTCAAAATCTCTGTGGCATTTTCATATACACGTGGGTGGTCTGTACGTACCCTATTGAACAGACTTTGGCAACCTAATTTTAAGAATTGAATTAAAGAAATGTAGCAAGAATTAGGGGCTTACACATGTATATATTAAGTTCAAGTCACAAGAACGACCGAAAACAAGGTTACTGATAGGCAGAAATGGGATTTCTGGTGGGAAAATTGAAAACAATAATGAAGTTAATGAAGCCTTTCTTTAAAAGCCCGGCAAGATTGTGCCCCGAGGACCACTTCTAGACGACTTCTTTAACTCATGTAAGAGTGGTGAGAAGTCAGTGTGTTACAGCAGTAAGAGGACACTGCAGTCCGCATCCTGTACAGTGTAGCAGTTATCTAAAGCCTTAGCACCAGCTACAGAAGGTAGTGTAACCATGGGTGTGCTAAGCGTGATTATACTGCCTGTCCTGCTGACTGTGGTCGTCGCGGTGGCTGGCCAGGGGGTAGCGGAGGCTGGCAAGTTGGGGGGCCGCGGAGGCTGGTCAGGGGACCGCGGAGGCTGGCCAGGGGGCCGCGGAGGCCAAGAAGTTCCAAGAACAGGCAGAAGAACCGCCCCTGTCTCACATCCACGACACCATCAAGGCAATGCTGAGTGAAGGAAAGCCCAGCAGCAAAGGTAGGACATAAGGATTACTTCAACAAAGGTAGGACAGAGAATTACTTGAATATGCAATTCAACTTTGTACACTAAGACTAAGTCTCTCAACACTCAAAATGAGATGCTATGAACCCTGGGACATATAGAGCTGCATACTACCACCCAGTACAGGTATAAACCTGTGAAAATTATCTAGGTAACAGGGAGCACACATTTCTTCTACTGATACTATTAATGTCGTGTAATAAGTATGCCGTGTTTGTTGCCACCGCTCATAAAAGATGAAGCTAAAAGCTGTAGATCTTGTTGGAGAAAAAAAGCCAAAGGGAGATGATGTTGTAACCTCCGCGACCGTTACCTGTATTCTGTAAAATTCAATGAGAACGAGCCTTAAGCTGGAGCAACATTTCCAACGTGGCGTGCTCGGCATGTTCTCGGTGTAGACGCCGGCCGGCGTCATGAAGCCGTGCGTGCGCCGGCTGTCAGGGCCTTTACGGCTCCCTGTCGAGGCGCTGAGGCGGCTCCTATTTTAAATTCACAAACTTTTGGTCCATTTGATGGCCGGTTTCTGTTAGGCACCCCTCTGATGCCCGGTCAGTCTCCCGTCTTTACCCGTGCGCTGTGTCATAGGGTTCCGACCGGCTCTTACACTTCGCAGCTTGATTGGCGGGGTCCAGGGGCGATCCTGGCGGGTCCCTGGCTGGTACGCCCCTAGCTGTAATGGTGGGTTCGCCCCCGTTTGAGTATGGACACTACGACTCACTGATGATAGAGCTATGTCGAGTCATTGTGACTTTCAGTCCTTCTAGAATAAAAAAAATGATTGAAAATCTCTGTTTGCATCGGATAACCACCTTCTTCTGAACAAGTAATGCACAGATCGGCACACGTGACGTGATGTATTTTTCTCGCCGGCGCCCGGGTTTTAAGTTTATACAGTTTATTCAATCAACAAAATCATACAAAAGCAGGGAATGCTGCATGCATCCCTGAAAGTTCCAGTTAAAATCAATTTGGCGACCGCTCGTGCTTGACCTGGTATTATAACACAATATTATTATTTATTATTGAGGTTCCCGGTATTCCAAGAGGAATGTAACAGCAGTAAAATTTAAACCCACTCTCACTTTTTTGCCTGTTTTAGTCAAATACATTTCCACACCTTTTATTTGTGTGTGTGTGTGTGGGGGGGGGTGTATTTTTAAGGATCCGAATCCGAATTTTTAAGGATCCGAGATCCAAAAATTGAAACTATGAAAATTGCACAATAGTAAAATCTATATATAGTTGAATGTTTGTTTATCTGTGATACAGTAATTTCCTCAATCAGTACAATTCAAAAGAGACCGGTCGACCAAACAAGAGCTCCAAGATGATACATTTGCCAAAGTATCTTCTCGAACCTTCCCATCTGCTAAATATCATGCACAACTATCCACATCTTCTCATTATGAACAAAACACTAGAACACATACACGAGCAGCGTGCTGCAGAGGTTTAGTTAACGTATTGTCGCAGCTAACTGAAACCCTGTCTGTTCTACCCCAGCAGGGATCCTGGATAGTGAAGCACCCCAAGGCGTCTTGAAACGTGACAAGCGCCGACTGTCCATGGCCACCACTGTTGAGAAACGCGACCAAGACGCCTTGAAACACCGCGTCCAACACGACATGCGCCGACTGTCAACCACTCGTCACAAAATTGGACATGCTTTAAGTAAAATTGTTTTTCAGCTGTTATGTTGACTCATTCCGATGGTCTATTTTCCACCACCATTAGCTTAAAAACACTTAATGCGAGGCACCGGTATCTATGTTTGGAGGCTGGGTGTATTTTGCCCTTTAAAAACAGTGTTGAACTGTATATGTTGCATGTATGTCATGATTTTCAACATGATACATATTTGGCCTGTTTTTCACACAAAACTTGTTTTCCAGCATCGTGTCTCGAAGGTTACACAATGGGGCAATCTCTGAGATCCGAACTTTTGACTATAAAATTGCACAATGGTAAAATCTACATATTTCAATGTCTGTTTTTATCTGTGATACAGTAATTTCCTCAATCAGTGAAATTCTAAAGAGACCAAACAAGAGCTCCAAGATCATATATTTGCCAAATTATCTTCTCGAACCTTCCTATCTTTTAAATAACATGCACAACTATCCACAAGATCTCAAGTTATGCTTTCCAAACACACATACATAACCTCCTGCAGAGTTTTAGTTAACGTATTGTCGCAGCTAACTAAAACCCTGTCTATTCTACCCCAGCACTGATCCTGGATAGTGAAGCACCCCGAGGTGCCTTGAAACGTCACCTGGATGACCTGCGCCAACTGCCCGCCACTGTTAAAGCCTTGAAAAGCGACCAAGACGCCTTAAAACGCGACCAGGATGCCTTGAAACGCGACCAAGACGCCTTGAAACGCGACCAAGACGCCTTGAAACGCAACCAAGACGCCTTAAAACGTGACCAAGACGCCTTGAAACGCGACCAAGGCGCCTTGAAACGCGACCAAGACGCCATGAAACAACGCGACCAATACGACATGCGCCGACTGTCCATCACTGTTGACGACTTGAAGCGCGACCATGACAACTTACGCCAACTGTCCACTGCTGTTGACGCCTTGAAGCGCGAACTGGACAACGAGCGCAGCCGGATCGCCACCTTGGAGCAGGGTCTACACAAAATTGGACAGACTTTTAGTAAATTGGTTTTCAGCTGTTATGTTGACTCATTCTGATTGTCTTCTTTCCACCACCATTAGCTTAAAAACACTTAATGCGAGGCACCGGTATCTATGTTGGGAGGCTGGGTGTATTATGCCTTTTAAAAACAGTGTTAAACTGTATATGTTGCATGTAGGTCATGATTTTCAACAAGATCCATATTTGGCCTGTTTTTGATACAAAACTTCTTTTCCAGCATCGTGTCCAAAAGGTTACACAATGTGGCGAGGAATCTGCTACAAGGCCTTTAACAAAATGAAGGCCTTCAACGAAGCGGCGGCAGCCTGTCGTGCAGACGGCGGCACCCTCGCCATGCCCCGAGACGCTGAGACCGACGCCTTCCTCATCTCCCTGTACAAGTTCGTGAGCGAACACTCGAACTTCTGGATCGGCCTGCACGATCGGCGCAAATGGACAAGGTTTGAGTGGGTGGACGGTTCTGCACTTGGGCCGTACAGCTCCTGGGCTCCGGGACAACCGCGCCCCGGTTGGGGCGCCGCCAGGGAAGCTTGCGTCTCTTACTCCTCAAGGCCATCCCAGAAAGACAAGTGGGGCAACGAAAACTGCCACATGCGGTATCACTTTATATGCCAGGCTGCACCAGGTACTTACTGTATCCGCTCTATTTCATGAAGCCATTTCATCCAGTAATCATAGCACAGCTTATTAATAAGTACATATCTGGATAAGGTGGCAGACCATCATTTGGCGAACCAAATCATTTTTTATCCCTTATAATTCGGCTCGGTTTTTTTTTCAGGACGTCCATAGGCGACAGGCGGGACTCTCACCACTACTGTACAACGGCTCCGACCATCCGCGGTAAAATTAACTAGAAAAACTTAAGACCTGGAGATATAGCATTGGTTTTTGATCATTTAGATCAACATTTTTTCTAACAAGTTTATTCTACACGGGAAAATAGAATGTTATGAAACAGTAACATAGATGTCACACTTCAGTTTCCAGTTGTAGACTTTGGCACGTCTTATATACTTTCATGCCTTTTCACAAGGCACACAATGTCCTCCTGATGACAGAATCATCTCAAGTTACCTTGATGAGAACAAACAATGAAACAGTTTAAAACCATTGTAATAATCAGGACTGTAACAATTCACGAGTTTCCCATCCCCAGAATGCATTGCTAAACCTTATTTGCATAGGACAGGAAGGCATCGGAATGATCCTGTTGACGTGAAACAGCTTGTTTTTCAATGTGTTTTGAGGTGTTGTGGCATTTTATGCTCAACGTTAACTACATTACTCTGGGTTGAATCTGACAACAGATAGAGCATGAATATGTGGTTTGTAACGTTGTAGTGGTAACGCTATACTGATGCTGTAATGTTACAAACCACATGTTCCATGTTGAAAATAACACAAAAACTTCATTCTCTATCTGTTGTCAGATTCGACCCATAGTAATTTAATTAATGCTGATCATAAAATGCCCCAACACCTCAAACACACTGAAAAACAAGCTGTTTCACGTCAACATGATCATTCCGATGCCTTCCTATACAAATGAGGTTTAGACCCCTGTTTTTGTAATGTATCCTGGAGATGGGAAACTCGTGAATGAAACAGTTTGAAACCACTGTAACAATAAAGACTGTAACAATGAAACGTCACTGTTATATCTGTTGTCTGTCATTGATACTGTTGTTAACATTGTTAAGACTGCTTAAGAGTTTGCGCTTTTTGGCTATTCACACAATAAAAAGAACTACTATGGTTCAATGCGGATGTATGATTTGATTTTTTAACTGTGTCAGTGTGACAGGAAGGTTGGGTGTGCTATGTTTGGTACTAACGAAATGAAATATCAATGCATGAAACAAACGTTTGTCTGCAAAAATTACTGAATTAATGAAGCATATTACGTAATGGAAAAAACAACTAAAATTTATTCATTCGTTTTAATATGTTAAGTGATTTACACACACACACAAACACTAATGAAATATTTGACCCACGGCCGTTGCTAATTAATTTACGAGGTAAACATTATATGTGGGGGGGGGGTCCAAAGTAACGTTGAGTTTTTCTTCTTATTTTGTATATAAAGAACGGACGACGAAGAGAACACTTGGAAGAGTTGTGTAAAGAACTTTATTTTCCTTTCCGTCCCACATTTTATCTATCTTCAGCTATCTCTTGGCCTTGAAACAGACTCGTTGAAGAAAGATGACATATTCTTAAAGCTTTCATGACAATGTGTACATTCCTTTGAACATGAAGTAAGGACAACACTGAAAACATCTTGTTAGAATTAGTTCATTTCTTCTCCGTCTTGTAGACTCAAATTGACTCTAACATCCTACAAGCAGGTCAGACACTTAATCATGGGGATAGTATCCACAGTGCCCACCTCAAATGTAGCTACATATTCTTTAGAAAACATTGTTTATAAAAAAAAATTTCATCATTCAGCATTTCATCATTCAAATTCAGCTTGTCTGGGTGGTTCCCTAATTCTAAGTCTCTTACAGTCTGCTCTAGAACTCCGATCTAGATATATAAAAATAAACAAGAGAATAGCCAAAAAGCCCTATGTTACTCCATTTTGAAGTGGTGTGTGTCAAAGGTGTGAATGGCGTTCTAGGGACATGTGCGAAAGGTATCCCCATACAAAATTGCAGGTCATTCGGATTTAATACCAGGGCTTCAGATCCCAAAATGTACATTTTTTTGCCTGAAATAGCCAAATAAAACAATTCTAATAGACTGCCTTGTATCTAAAAGAAAATGATGATGCCAAATGTCATGTCATTAACCCCCCTACCCCCCCGTCCACCCCAAAAAATTAAGAAATTGGAGTAGAAGGAGAGGGAGAAGAAGATACACGAGGGAAAACAATATATTTCAGGCATACCAAGTTTTATGATTGAAATATAAATATTGCAAAAAGCCTCGGATCCGGACAATGAGAATGAGCCGATCCTTACATCTGCTTGGAGATCATAGTACCCTCGGCCTCCACGCGCACGTTTTGCTCTTTGTACTCTGACGAACAAATCACCTGCCGTTGTACAAACATGAGACGGGAACAAAAGGGCAAAGATCTGGGAACACAGAAGGTGAGTAACCCCAATACGAGCCCGGTGAAACAGACCGTTGTGGCTACCTGATCTCTCCGGCGGTGATAGTGTGTCCGCCCGTCCAGCCTCCCGCTCAGCGCACGGTAGGGATTTCAATTATTCACCACGAAGTATCAGAAAGACAGGCTAACCAGATCGAGTGCCAGACAAAAAAAAATCTGCGACTGAAACACTCCAAAGTCGGCCCGCAGAGAATGGTCCAAGAGTTACACAGGTACGAAAATATTTGACATCTCAGCATTTGCCCACTATAGAGTCGCGTATGTAAAAACTATGGCGTACAACGTGCTACAGTCTACACATGTCAACCGACGCCGACTGAAGAACGTTACACGAGGACTGTGCATAGCCATAGTCTTTCTTTTAGGGGTGTTGGTGTATATCCAGTATCTCATAGGTCTAAATATACGCACTAACGTCATCACTAAAGGAGTAGTTTACTCGTTCGAAGAGTGGAAACGGGATGATATGGTGGCACCAACCACTGAATTGGAAACAGTCGTCTGCAAGCAACCACATCTAGAGTTAAACCGTCCTGAAATAGCGCACTGGTTCCACGATATCAACCGCTTCACCTGCACTGGTCGCGACGACGTGTTCACCATACAAGATGGCGTGGTCACAGTCGACATGGTCAAAGTTCACAAACACATAGCCCCGGAGTTCGACAAGTGCCAACTTTGGTCCTTCCACAGAATCGACGACGAGGAGGCTGTATTCAAAAACAAAGTAGAGGAGAGGGTTGTGGACACGAGTGATTCTGTTCGGCTGAATTTTAACGTCACGACCGACTTCTTTAGAGTGAAGTGTGGAGAGTTTGAAAGGTATGTCTCTCACATCTATCCAAACCCAAACTTACTGGTACCACAGAGTCGCCCCGTTTTAAAAATGAGCCCGAACCCCTTTCAAGACGTCAGTGTGTTGATGCTCGGTTTCGACTCGACATCTTGTTTAAATTTCATGCGGAAATTGCCGAAGGTTTACGACTATTTGACAAAAGAAATGGGCGCCGTTGTGCTTCGAGGATATAACATAGTAGGCGACGCGACCGCAGGTGCATTCATACCTATCCTCACAGGCCACACGGAGGCAGAGCTACCGAACGTCAAAAGAAACACGAAGAATTCACAATTTGTTGACGCGTACCCGCTTATCTGGAAACAGTACAAAAAGAAAGGATACGCCACCCAGTTCGCAGAAGACATGCCCGGTTTTGCCGCGTTTAACCTACGTTTAAACGGATTCAAAGAACAACCCACGGACCACTACATGCGGCCATTTTGGCACAAAATAGACGAAGGGCCCACATTTTGCTACGGGTCCGTCCCAAAGCACGTTATGATGTTTGACTACCTGAAGGAGTTTCACCTGGCGTACGAGAGTTCCCGGCCACGGTTTGGGTTCACTTTTCTCACTCAGATCAGCCACGATGACCTGAATATCATCGAACTGGTACAGCAGGATCTATTGAACCTACTCTCAGGTCTGTACGAGGAGGGGCATTTGAACAACACTATTATGGTCGTCTTTAGTGATCACGGTCCAAGGTATGGAAACATGAGGGAAACATTACAGGGGAAAATAGAGGAAAGACTGCCTTTTATGTCTATTGTACTCCCGGATAGCATCAAACGCAACCACCCGAAAGTCTTGAAAACATTGCAGCAAAATTCGGACAGGTTGACCACACCATTTGACATGTACGCTACGTTAGCTGACGTTATAGGACACAAAGATCCGCACCTACCGGCGCCTAACGGTCTACCTCGGGCGATCAGTCTCTTCACAAAAATCCCCGCCAACCGGACTTGTCAAGACGCGGGGATTGAGACGCATTGGTGCGCCTGTCTGCAGTGGAAATCTATTCCGCCAGAGGGCAGTGTCGCCACGAAGGTTGCCAAGTTCTTGGTTGCACACATCAACGCCCTCATCAAGCCCTACATGAGTCTGTGCCACCAACTGTCGATTGTAAACGTGACCCATGCCGAGGCGGCTGAACCAGATAACCAAAACGGCATCACGTATAGAGATGTACAGATCACAGTAGAGACCACGCCGGGACTGGCACTGTTTGAAGCGACTGTTCATATCACGGAAAAGCTCGGAAACGACTCCATGACTGTTACTTCAGACATCAGTAGAATTAACAAGTATGGACACCAAAGCGACTGTGTCCTGAACACGAATCCAGAACTTCGAAAGTATTGCTACTGTAGGGAAGATAAAAATTGACCACTACTTGCCTTGAGAGAAGGAGAAAAAAAGACTAATTATCATTATTATGAATTTCACGAAGAAAATACATTCCAAATCAAGCCTTATTCACTGCAATTAACGGGCGAACCAATTATTATATAAGGACTAATCGCAGGGCTTTTGAGAAGAAAGTATTCTGTATGGGCCAATCG